CAACCGACCCCCCTGACATTTCGTTTTGGAGATGAGCTCCCGAAACGTCTGTGCCCCGGGCGCTGCCTCGACAGAGCCACGGCACCAATAAAAGCCTGCAAAAACCGGTTGGCTTCCATTCGTTGAAATAAATAACTCGGACTCGCAAAGAAGAGGACGGGTGCCACAAAATATATTGCGAAATCCCCTCGAGAGAAGTTTTTTGCTGAGCAGCAGCTGCAGTGAGGGCTCAGCTACCATGCGGGCAGCTGGGTTCTACTTAGGTTTGGGGGGCTTGGGGTCTTTTTTTTGGTTGGATTTTGGTTGGATTTTGGCTTGGTTAGGATTTTGGTTGGATTTTGGCTTGGTTAGGATTCTGGCTTGGTTAGGATTTTGGCTTGGATTTCAGTTTGGATTTCGGCCTGGATTTTGGTTTGGTTTGGATTTTGGTTCGGATTTTGGTTTGGTTTGGATTTTGGCTTGGTTAGGATTTTGGTTGGATTTTGGTTTGGATTTCAGTTTGGATTTCGGCTTGGATTTTGGTTTGGTTTGGATTTTGGTTCGGATTTTGGTTTGGTATTTGAGGTATTTTTGGGACAGGCTGGGGTTTGATTTTTGGGGGTTTTCTTTTGGTTTTGGGTTGGGGCGGGGTTTTATTTAGTTTGGACTTTATTGTTGTGGTTATTTTTGTTTCATTTTGGGCTTTTTTCGTAAAAAAATAAACTCTAAAACAACCCACGCTCACCCGAATCCGCCATTTTACCAAACCCCCTCCCCCACCCCTTTCCTGCATCCCCTTTCAACAGGAAGAAAACCTTTTCGTCCAAATTAATTCGCTCGAGCAGCTCTACGGACCTGACCAGCCTCCAGGCAACGCTCTGCTTTCGAAAGCTCAGAGGAAAGGCTCGAGGCGCTTTTTTTTCTGACGCGGCGAGGCGGTAGCAGCGACGGATCGGTGACAGTCTAGCAAATCTCACGAGAACGTAAACTCCTAAACGCTGGCGACAGCCGGATTCAGGGCTTTGCCAAACAAAGCTGGGGTTTGTCAGCTGATGGGAGAGCTGAGATGAAGCTGCTGTTTACGGCTTTTTTTTGTTTGTTTATGGGTATGCTTTTTGCTTCCAGGTGACGTAGTCATCGGGTCTGCTGCAGAGCCAGTTCTTCTTGGTGTGACAAAGGGACGAGCTGATCCTCTCCCGGTTCAGGTATGCGCAGGGCCCGCCGCCTCCCACATCAAACCTGCAACGCCGACACGCTCGGGAGAGTAAGAAAATGAGGAAAAGCAGAAAGCTACCCCCAAAATCTTAAGCAAAGCTGAGATCTCCTCTCTAGGAGGGAAGGGGTGGCATTTGGCTGAGGGTATCTAATCGGGGATTGGTGCGCAGCATCCTTGGTCCAGCCCAAACCACCCATGGAAAGCCAGGGGCCGCCTAGGCACAGTGGCAGGAGAAGGTCCCCAGCCCAGCACGGGTCATCCCAGACCCTCCAAGAGCTCCCATCCAAGGGGGAAGAAGCAAAGCACCAGCCCCCCCCAAGGCCATTTCCAACCTCACCAAGAGCCAACCCAAGCACCCAACACAGACAGAGGGACCAACCAGTTGTCGAAGGCGGTGCCGTTGGCCCACCACCAGCCGCCATCCTCCTTCCGCAGCCCGAACCAATGGTTAGCCTCGCCTTTATAGCGTTTAATGAAGATCTTTAAAGCAAAGAAACATCCTCTTTTAGCTAGTCTTGTCTTTCCCCACCTCTTCTTTTCCACCTGTGTCCGTGACCCCACCCAGAGATGATGCTTTCCCCGAGCTCGGTGCGATATGGAGCCAAGCAAGTTTGCGGTCGGGGCTTTTTTGCTCTTTTTTTGGTCACTTTTGGGTTTTTTCCCCATGTTTCCCACCCTGGTGCTAGCATAGGGGCTCAAGCCCAGTCCTCACCAGCTCGTCCACGGTGCTTATGAGGGCCAGCGAAGATCCCAGGGCCTTGCAGCTTTCCTGACTGGTGGTCCAATTGCTCTCAACCTCAGAAAAATAATAGCACTTCCCTTGGAAACCAAGCCAGGCATCTGGGCACACGTGGGAGAAGTCCGGGCGAGGCAAACGAGGTCCCAAATGGGCAGCTGGAAGAGAAAGCCAAGCGAGATGTGCTAGCAGGCCAAAGAAGCAGGAAAATGGGATTTATTATTTTTTCCTAGAAGCTTCAGGCAGGGGGAACTGAGGATGATGCCCTTGGAAAAGGGAACACTGCGACCAAGGGAGAAGCCAGGATGCTTTTTTAAGGAAAAAAAAAGGGGGTGTCTTGGTGCTTTGCTTGGGGAGCATCCTTTGACGCTGGCAAAATCCTGCAATCCCCCTCTTCCCCAAAACAGGAAGGCGCCTGGCCCGGATCCTTCCCATGGGGGACGTCCGGATGGGACTCACCAGTCAGGGCCACCAGCAGGATGAAGATGAGGACCAGCACCACCATGCACACAGGGATGAAGCTCCGTGATGAGCGGGTTCTTTCCCAGTCTGACTTCTTGGTGTTGGAGCCTGGGGGAGGAAAAAGCAGGAGAGGGTGGCTGCTGGGTGCTTTCCCTCCCGCTTTGCCCTTTTTCTGCCGAATCCTCAGTCCACCCCAAGACCCAGCCAGGACGAGGAGCTTTTTGGGTCTCAGGAGGGTTGGGGAGAACTTGCCCTCGCAAAGCAGGGAGGCCAGACGCGTGTCCTTCGAAGGCACCGACGTGCGTTTGAGGACCTGGCGATGGATTTAAGGCTTTTCACAGCCTTTTGAGGTGGTCACATCATGAAACATAGGGTAGATGTTGACCTGCGCCCAGCCAAAAGCTCCACCCATCCCCACCCCACCAGTGAAGATGCTCTTCCCACCCCCTGCCCTCACCCAGAGCATCACGGGGGGTTTTTTTCCCGGCGTTACCCCATTTGCAATCTTTCTCCACATCGTTGCATTTCAACACTTGGTCTTGGTCAGAAGGATTTGGCTTTTGCATTCCTTTCCCCATCGCCCAGGGGCTCAGGTCCACCGGCGTCGGCGGGGCCCGTGGCTCCGGCTGCGTGGTAAGAAGGAGAAGGCTGAGCAAGGCGGCGGCCGGCCGTGCCTCTCGCAAGATCCCAATCAAGCTGTCTGGAGATTTATTTTTTTATTTTAAAACCTCTTCAACACCCCAGGACCTCGTGGGCACCAGGTACCATGGGAAGCCATGGCAGGGGAGCGCGATTGTCCTGTGCTAAAAACACATAGGGGGAAGGGGAAAGAGAAATGGAAAGGAAAAAGAGAAAGAAGGAGAAAGAGAAAGAAGGACAAAGTGAAGGGAGGGGGAAAAAACAAGGAGAAGGAGAAGGAGAAGGAGAAGGAGAAGGAGAAGGAGAAGGAGAAGGAGAAGGAGAAGGAGAAGGAGAAGGAGAAGGAGAAGGAGAAGGAGAAGGAGAAGGAGAAGGAGAAGGAGAAGGAGAAGGAGAAGGAGAAGGAGAAGGAGAAGGAGAAGGAGAAGGAGAAGGAGAAGGAGAAGGAGAAGGAGAAGGAGAAGGAGAAGGAGAAGGAGAAGGAGAAGGAGAAGGAGAAGGAGAAGGAGAAGGAGAAGGAGAAGGAGAAGGAGAAGGAGAAGGAGAAGGAGAAGGAGAAGGAGAAGGAGAAGGAGAAGGAGAAGGAGAAGGAGAAGGAGAAGGAGAAGGAGAAGGAGAAGGAGAAGGAGAAGGAGAAGGAGAAGGAGAAGGAGAAGGAGAAGGAGAAGGAGAAGGAGAAGGAGAAGGAGAAGGAGAAGGAGAAGGAGAAGGAGAAGGAGAAGGAGAAGGAGAAGGAGAAGGAGAAGGAGAAGGAGAAGGAGAAGGAGAAGGAGAAGGAGAAGGAGAAGGAAAACCAAGGACAAGGAGAAGGGAGGGGAAAACCAAGGACAAGGAGAAGGGAGGGGAAAACCAAGGACAAGGAGAAGGGAGGGGAAAACTGGAGAGGGAGAAGGGGAAAAAAGGAGAAGGAGAAGGGGGGGAAAAAGGAGAAGGAGAAGGGGGGGAAAAAAGGAGAAGGAGAAGGGGGGGAAAAAGGAGAAGGAGAAGGGGGGAAAAGGAGAAGGAGAAGGGGGAAAAAAGGAGAAGGAGAAGGAGGGAAAAACAGAGAAGGAGGGAAAAATGGAGAAGGAGGGAAAAATGGAGAAGGAGGGAAAAATGGAGAAGGAGGGAAAAGAAATGGGAGAGATAAATATAAAGAGGAAGAAGAGAAAGGGCGAGAGGGAGGACAAAAAGGGCAGAAACAAACGGAAAGAAACATGATAAGTTAAAAGGGAGTTTAAATACTGAAATATATTAAAAGAAAAACAGAGGTTACTGCCTACTTACAGCTCAATGGGAGTTTAAGTGTTTGCACAGGGCTGAAATTTGCTGGGAGCTCAGGAGCAGTGGCTGCGGAGAGGGAGCAAACTCCGCCATGGGCCGAGCCGAGCCTGCAGTTTGCCACCTGCCCCCAGCAGAAACCCACAAATTCGAAAGAAAACAGCCAGCTCGCCTACCGGTTGCGACCGGATAAAGTCTGCGTGCTTAGCGACCGCCGGCAGCAAATTGGTTTTGCTTTCCCTTATCATCTCTGCCCGCACCCTTGCACCCTGGCCCAAAGACGACTTCTCCTCTGCCAACAGGTTGCATCAGCTTTGCTTCCCTCTCTGGCTCTTAGCATCACAAAATAAACCGACCAAAGCCTTCAAAGAACGCGCCCCGAGTGCTTGGTAAAGAATTTTCATCCTGGGAATCGAATCTAAAGCCGTGGAAGGATGGGTTTTGGTTGTCGGAGCAGGAAAAAGCCCAATTCCCCATCCCCTACAGGGGGGAATTTGCAGGAGGGAAATTCAGCGCTCGAAGACGTGCTTGAAAATCACATTTCAGCAGCAGCTTGAAGCGTAAATTTGACAGCAGGGAAGAGAAAAAGTCCTAACGAGGGTGGGCTGGGAAGGGGCGACGCTTCCCCGTCCCCGTCGGTACCCAAAACTCGACGGGACTAAGGCCAGGCTGGCGAGCGGGGTCTGCGCTGGGAACCCACCAGCCACGTCTGCTCTTACCGGTGAAGCGCCGAGAAAATATCTGAGAAACGAAAGCAGATCTGAGATTATTAAAGAAAAAAAAAAGCCCCAAGACAGAGCTTTCAGCTTCCTCATTTAAAATGAAAACTTCTCTTTGTCATGAAAACTGTAAAAATTCAACAAAACTCCCTTAAAAAAGCCCCCACGGAGGTTCATGTTTTTGCCCCCTGTGAAATGAAGAGATCTCACGGTGCAGCCTGAGCTCCCGCCCGGGTTTTATCCCTCCCAAAGCCTGCTGTGGCTTCCAGCCAGCTCCCCCCCAGCTCACTATTAATTCCACTTAATTGATATAAATGCAAGTCCTTTTTATCACATAATTCACCTTTTCTCACCGTCATTTTCTTAATTCCCTTCCAGAGAAAGCAACCCTGTTAGACACAAAGGGCTACAGGGAGGGGGGAAAAAGAAACCATCAGGGCTGAAAAGTGCTTACAAAGGAGCAAAGCAGAGAGAAAAAAATAGGTGAAACAGCTGAAAAAGCAGATTTGGTGACTCAACCCAGCTGCAATAAAAGAGGCAGAGGGAAATGGGGCACCTGGAGCGGCCAAAGCTTCGGCGAAACCAGCTGAAAAACAACGATTTGGTTGGGGTCTGTCTGCCCCCCCCGCTTCGACTCGCCGCTTTTAATTCAGCCGGTCGATTATTTCGGACCCTAAAACAAGAGGCGTCTCTCAGGGTGGTCCTCCCCACCCCAGCCCCAGCTCCAGCCCGCAACAACTCAACCAGCCCCAATTTTTCCAGGCACAAACCCCCCTCCCCCAGGACTCACCCTCCTGGCAGAGCTTACCCAGGCTGCGAAGAACTTCCTGCCGGCGGTCAAGAATCGCTCAGAGCGGGGAGGGACCACGCGCTCCCCCGGTTCCGGATTCTCGCCGGCGCTCCAGCAGCTTGGCTGTCGTCTTCGGGCTCGTAGGCGAGGCAAAAGGGTGAAGGACGGCGTCAAGGAACCGTTGGGAACTTCAGCGATGGGCTGGCCATGGCTGGATGCCAGGTGCCTACCAAGCTGCTATCGCTATAACGAAAGCTTTGCGGGCTGAGATAAAGACAGGGAGAGCTCACTCAGAAGCTGCCTTCAGGGGAAAAAACAGGCTCAGCTTAGGGAAATTAATTTAATTTATTGCCAATGAAACCAGAGTAGGGCAATGAGAAACAAAAACTACATCATAGAATCATTAAGGTTGGAAAAGACCCTCTAAGATCATCATCAACCTCACACCTCCACGCCTGCTAAATCTTAAAAATGCCTCCCCCCACCCCATCCCTTCCTCCCAGGCTTCGCTTCGCTCCTGATTTTCTCTACCTCCTCGTGGCGAGCGGCACCAGGGGATGGGGGCTGCGGTCAGGCCACCGCGCGTTGTCTCCGCGGCTCTCCCAGCGCGGGCTCCTCTCTCCGCGGTCCCACTGCTTCGCTGGCGTCTGCAGAATTGCTCCTCTCGCATCTTCTCACCCCTCCCTCCGGCCGACGCTGCGCGGGTTTGTGGGGTTTTTTTTCCCCCTTTTTAAATACGTTCTCACGGTGTCCTGGTTTCGGCTGGGATGGAGCTGATTTTTCTCCTGGTAGCTGCTGTGGTTCGGGTTTCGGAGGAGGAGAACGTCGATAGCGGTCATGTTCCCAGCCATCACCACCAATCAAGGCCTTTTCCCAGTTTCCCGTGTCCAGGCGGGCGCGCAACCAGACAGACAGCTGAGCCGGCCAATGGAAACGCTCCGCACCACGGATGTCGTGCTCTGTTTATGGATGGGGCTGGCCACGGGGACGTGGAGTTGTCAGCTTTTTGGTTTTCTGGGAGTTTGAATCCTCTCTCGGCCAGGAGTTTGAATTTTCTTCGGGCTGCGCATCGATCACCAAATGGTGAGAAAAACTGTATTCTAAATAGCTTGCTTTGCATATTCATTATTATAATTATTATCATTACTATTATTATTACTATTATTTCCTTTGTTGCCTTATTAAACTGTCTCTCAACCCACCAGCTTCCCCTTTCGCCCACCCTCCTCCCCACCCCGCCGGGGGGAAAGGGAAGGGTGAGCGAGCGGCTGTCCCGTGACCCGCAAAGCCGATACAGCTTTACACTCCAGAGTTTCCGCGTAGGAAGTGGAAATTTTTGATCTATTTTTCCTTTTTGCTGAATAAATTCAGCCCAGCGGGGATTTTTAGCAGAGCCCTGGAGGCGGGTGACGCTGAAGGCGCCGTGCTCTCTCCACTCCCCTCGGTTCCGCAGTCATTTCTCACCTGGAGGTGGTTTGAAACGGTTCGCCTGCAGAGCTGGGGTCGGGCAGTGCTAACGAGGTTCTGAATCATCTCTTCTCACCAGAGCAGAGGAAAAAAAAATGAGGTGCTGGGCTTGCAGCTGCTTTCCTCTGTCGGGGAGCGAAAGCAACAGGCTCAAAGCAAAAGCAGCCCAGAGAGGTGAGAACACGAGAAGGAGGTGCAAGGAAGGAGATGAAGCCTGGTGGGAAAAGCCCTCTTGGTTGAGAGGACTCGTGGCTGGTTTTGAGCAACTCCATCCGCAGGAGAGGAGGGATGGAGCAGTGGGCTGGACCAAGGCTTGCTCAGATGGCAAAAAATGATGGAGGTCAGATGGAGAAAGCAACTTTCACCACCTCCAGTCCAAGAGAAATTAGAGAAATAAGAGGTCTACGAGTGAGGATGAGAAAGCAAGCAGTGGGAACTGGCAGAAGATGCGGAGCTCCATTAAGGTGATGCTGGTCCAGGGAGCATGGAAGAAGGCGGCTCCTCCTCGAGCCTGATTTTTAGGGAGAAGATTGTGAGATCCGGGTGCGTTTCTCCATCTCTTCCTGCAGCAGAAAGCGAGCACAAGCTCTGCTCCAAGAACTGGATGGCGTATGGGGAGAAGTGCTACCGGCTGTCTAAACAAAGTTGGGTTTGGAACGAGAGCGAGGACTGCGAGGTGTGGAGAGCTCAAATGCCAATCATC